TTCGTCAGCAAGCCCGCTTTGATGGCATTAGTTCATTCATTTGTCCACTCACGTTTGGACTACTGCAACAGCCTACTGTATGGTGTTTCAGCGAATGAAATTGCACTGTTGCAATCTGTACAGAATAGAGCAGCTAAAGTAGTAATGGGTGGACGAAAGTATGATCACGTGACTCCATTGATTAAGGATTTGCACTGGTTGGTAATTGAAAAGAGGATTGTTTTTAAAATTTGCTTATTGATGTTCAAGTGTTTAAATGGTTTGGCACCACGATATCTGACGGAGATGTTTACACTCAAAGATATGACTGCTCAGAATTTTGTCTTGAGATCAAACGATCAGAATTACTTAACAGATTGGGTGTCAAAATTGAAGATTGGGTCTCGTAACTTTGCTGTATGTGGTACGAAAATATGAAACAGTCTTCCATGCGTCATTCGTCGACCAGGGATGTCACTGTTGCAGTTTAGGAGAGAATTGAAAACACACCTGTATTGAAGATTAATTGAAGTTGGAATAGTATGTTGCATGTTGCTTTTGTTGTTTATGAATGTAGCTTATCGATAAAGGAACATTCATTTGTTTTATGCTGTTTTTTTTTATTTACGTTTTAATTATATAATTGAGTTGTCGAGTACGTAATGTATGTGGGTGTTTTATGATGGGATGTGCTTACGTTGAATGTGTTTTGGATGTGAGGAGAGGTGTGTGTTTCGTGTGTTTTTAATAAATTGAATCGATTTATAATTATTGTGCTGGTGGTTGGGTATTTATCTGTTGGTTGTTCTGAATTATATGTTATCGTGCATCTTCTGAGCGTAATTGTGTGTGATCGGTGTGGATAAAGTGTGGATGATTGTATCTATGATTTGGTTTAAAATGGTTGCTGTTTGGTTCTTATATGGTTGTTACATGACTTAGAGTGATTGGGTGTGGTCGAGAGTATGTGTGCATCTGTGCATGAATTTAAATGATTTATCTGTTTTGTTTTAGTTCTTTTTACAATGTATACTTATGTTTATTTTCGAAATATTTATGTTTTTGTTTGATCACTTAAATGGACATAAATTTTTTTTTTGGTTATGTTGGATAGCGACTTTGGGTAGTTCTATAAAAGTCGCTATACAAGTTTTCTTATAATAATAATAATAATAAATAATAATATATCCGTTTTGTTATTATCTATACCATTTATTCGAGGCATGTTACGTGCTGTTCTATATATAGGAAGTATAGAAGCAGTATAGAAGAAGTATAGGAAAAGTATAAGAAAGTTGTAGAAGAAGTATAGGAGAATTAAAGAAGAAGTGTAAAAAAGTATATGAGAAGTATAGAAGTATAGAGAAAAATAGGAGAAGTATAAGAAAGTATAGAAAAATAATAGAAGTATAGAAGAAGTATAGAAAAAGTATAGGAGAAGTATAAGAAGGTATAGAAAAAGTATAGGAGAAGTATAGGAAAAGTATAGAAGTATAGGAAAAGTATAGAAAAAGTATAGGAAAATATAGAAGTACAGGAGAAGTATAGAATATATGCAGAATATATATATATATATATATATATATACCAGCATATATATATATATACCAGCATATATATATATATATATATATATATATATATATATATACCAGCATATATATATATATATACCAGCATATATAACAATCGGACGCTTTTAGTGTTAAGGTAGGAGTGCATCAAGGATCAGTGTTATCACCGTTTCTGTTTGCAATTGTGATGGATGTTGTGTGTGGAAACATAATGGAGGGGTTGTTATTTGAGATTTTGTATGCAGATGATTTAGTCTTGATGGCTGGTAGCATGGAAGAATTGCAGTTAAAATTTGACAGATGGAAAAGTGTTATTGAAAAGAAGGGGTTACAAGTTAATATTGGTAAGACAAAGATAATGGTGAGTGGGGAAGGTGGGGAGCGAGTGATAAGTAAAATAGACCCCTGTGGGATATGTGACAGGAGAGTGAAGGCTAACTCGGTATTGTGTATAGGATGTCAGAAATGGGTGCATAAGAGATGTAGTGGTGTGAGGGGAGCACTGAAAAAGGTGGAAGGCACGTTCAAATGTAAAAAATGTGTTCATGGTGTGATTAATAGGACGGACGCAAGGACGGGGTTGAGTGGTGGTATTGAAAGAGTAGAAAGCTTTGTTTACTTAGGGGATAAGCTGAACGCGGATGGAGGATGTTTGAGCGCAGTTACGGCTAGAGTTCGTGTGGGATGGATGAAATTTAGGGAACTGGGTGGGGTATTGTGTGGAAATAAATGGTCAGTGAAAATGAAAGGGAGGGTATATAAAGCATGTGTGAGAACAGCGATGGTATATGGTGGTGAAACTTGGGTGTTGAGGAGAGAGGAGGAAAGTGTACTGCAGAGGGCTGAAAGAACTATGGTGAGGATGATGTGTGGGGTTAAAGGGAAGGATAGGAGGAGTAGTACAGAGCTGATGTCAATGATGGGACTGAATGAGGACATTGTGACATTGATAAGGAGATCGAGATTGCAGTGGTATAGACATGTGTTGAGAAGGGATGAAAGGGTCGGGATTAGGCGAGCGTTGGAGTTCGAGGTTGAAGGAGTGGTAGAAAGGGGTCGTCCGCGATTGGGGTGAAGAGAGCAGGTGGAGAAGGACAGGGTGAAAGCGGGGTTGCGTGATACTGAGGCGAGTGACAGATGTGGATGGCGTCGAGGAGTATTTCGGTTTCATCATAGGTAGCCAAACGGCAACCCCCGATCTGGGGGAAAATATCGTCTAAACGTGTGTTGTTGTTGTTGTATATATAACAATCAGGGGAATTTCAGAGCGCTATTAAATACAGTACAGAATGTACAAGATCCGCCACTGAATGTATATGTATTAATACATATACATTCAGTGGCGGATCTTGGGGTAAGGCCGGAGAGACCATCACCCAGTTGTGAGCAGTATATTTATTAAAAGAACTCAGCTTTTAGAACACCATTTTATATCAAAAAAGGTCGCCAGCCTAATTTTGGCAGCGCTACCACAAATCTTGGCCCCCTGTCCAAATTTGAAAAAAAAATTAAACTTTTAAACATTTTTAAAATTTTGGTTCCCCCGTCAAAGTTGTCTAGATCCGCCACTGTCTGATGTATATGTAAAACATGAACAATACCTTCAAGAGGCGCCTTGAGACTGACCGTATGTCAGATTTTTTTATCAATGGTTATCGAACCTTGTTTGCTGCGTACAATTGGTGAGGCTTTAACCTATGCAAAACTACTTATTTCGAAACATGTTTGGATACTGAAAATATAATGTTTCACGTGAGTGAGAATGTTCGACTTTGTGAAATATATTTATTTACTAGTGTATCAAACTCAATAGCCACAATTTTTTGTACTTTATTTTTTGCAGTGAGCAGTGAGCAGGCTTTAAGAGCAACATTCTCAAAGACTTCTTGCATTTTATTAAAAGTTTACATATTGGTTTTCTGCAAAATTTCTTTTTGTCCGAGATAATAAGTTGAAAGTCCTACCTTGATTGTTTTTTCCTTTGTAGCTCTATCGTTTATTTCAGAAATGCTAATTAGTTGGCTAATAACTTTTTTAACAAAATGAGTTTTTTTAAATGTTTAGTTATTGGAGTATGGCAGTTAATGAAAATGAAAGGTATTAAGTTTATTTATTTTAAAAATATGTCAATTGAATATCATTTTCTAAGTTATTTACAATAATAACTGGCGTTGCTTTATTTAGATGTTTTGCTCAATGTTCATTAATTTTTTTGTATTATAAAAATTGCAAATTTTTTTTTATGCATTTATTTCAGGTTTTTACCATTTATTGAACTCCGAACACTTTAGTATATTCAAACAAGAGCATGCCAATATATATCAAGACATGTGTCAGCCCATTACTAATTATTTTATCAATTCATCTCATAACACGTTAGACTTATGTTATTTTATAACATAAAGCTTGAAATTTAATAATTTTGAAAGATTAGTTAATATTTTTTAACCATGTTGATATTTTTCTTATTAGCTGGCAATAGTAACTGATTTTATATATTTACAGCACATAGTATATTTATAACACGGCATTACGGTCAATAAGTTGAGATTTGGCGAATGGTAATGTTTTGACAGTTCGTTTTCCATTTTCGCTCAAATAGGCTTATTTATTTTACAGTTTTACATACTCAGTATACAGTTTGCTCGGTAAACTTTTTTTCATTAAAACGATTTTAGTTTTTAGTTTAACATATCTTAAAAGTGTTCTTTTCGTCACCACATTTATCTTCCACTTTCTGGTGGGATTGTTTGAAGTTTTGATAAATGAACTCTTAATAAAAACCACTTTATTATTATTGTACTTTTGTGACTTTATCATCATTTATCAGAAATGCTGATGCCATTTTTCAACTGCCATTTTTTAAAATAAATATATTTATTTCCAAACTAATTTTTTATTGCTTATTTTGTTGTAATTTGTATTGATTGGGACTAATAAATAGGCACTCTGAGTGTGTTCTGATTTTGTTTTTTGTTGTGATGGTGTCTCGTGGATTTTTAGGATTTTTTCACCAGAATAAAAGAAAATAAACGTTAAAGTTGGGAAAACGTCACCATTAATTTTTAGATTTTGTTTGAAACTTCATTTACTCATAAAATTTTTATTAAATTTGATTAATTTAAACATTGCAGTTATTTAGAGGGAGACCAGTTCAACAGTTACAGCAAAGTTGAATGCTATATTAATGCATTGACATCTGGTTGCAGATGCGTAGAAAGTAAGTTTAATGGTTTTTATACTATATATATATATATATATATATATATATATATATATATATATTTGCACACATATATAGTCATTCATTCGGCTCCCTATGCATAGCTTCAGAGGCGCTTGTTTCCTTTTGGAAAAAGTTCTAGATTCCTTCTGTCACTAAAAATGTGCCTCAAATTTTTTGCGCAACGTTAATTGAAAAGTTGTTGATTAATGTATGGAGGAATGTGTAGATGGAAGAACACACGAATAACTTTTTTACGGAAGGAAACAGTGGAGTTAAGGCGGTCACGTTGTTCGTTGTGAGCGATAATAAGCTTGAGTCGTTCCGTTGGCTTGAGCTTTCCGGTTGGCAGTGAAACTTTAGCACATTGACAATTAAATTCAATTAACTTATTTTAAACAAAATACATTCCGAAACTATTTCCACAGCCAGGGATAGCCAAAAAGCAACGCCCGTACACGAACGTCTACAAGCCATAGACATCGCAACGCATAGACTCACACCTATAATGTATGAGTATTCATGTGTATATATATATATATATATATATATATGTATATATATATATATATATATATATAATGTATAGGTATGAGTATGTATATGATGTGTACGTATGTATGTTTACACGTGTACGGCTTTTCTAAACTTGACCAAAGAACAAAGCCAAGGCTCTTCTTAGTGAAGCCAAATTACCGGAAGACAAACAGGTTTTTTTTAAAGAGTCGTGGGACCTGTAGGAAGGTGGAAGAAAATAAAGTTTATCAGAAAAACAAAGGATTCAATTAACATTGGTTTGTTAAAAGTTAGGTCAAATTTTTCAATATTTGACATAGCTCATGAATTGATTTTGGATGGATTGGATATTTTTGTGTTCGGTCATCAAGTAATTTTTCAGTTAAATTTTCAATGCCGTCTGGCTTTAGCCACGTTGGTCGTTTGAGACTGTAAAATCCTTTACATGGTGGCTTAATTATATTTTTTTGCTTCATTTTTAATGCCAAATAAATTAACCTTTAAAGGTTAAAGGCCATTCTTTATTGGCTATGTTTGAGACTATAGCGTTAAAATTTATTACAAATAATAAAGATTTTGTTTTGTTGTATACAGATCTGGTTCAGCGTTGGTTAACACTCTGTTTTTAAAAATCTTATGAATGCTTTTCAAAATATTTCAGTTTCAAATTCAAATATTTTACTTGGTGGTTTTTATTTAATTTCCCACTTGCACGAATTGATGATCAAAATACTATTCGTTTGCTTGAAATTTTTGAATCAAATAAATAAGCCGAAGCATATTCTTAGTGGTATACTTGATCTTATTGTCAGTTCCATGATTTTCCTATCCCAGTTAGCAAAATTTTCCCCAAGTTGGCCTTCTCGGGTCATAATTTAATTCAAGTTCAAATATTTCAGATTTGTCGGATTTTTTGCCGCGTTTGACTCTGTTGATCATAGCATTTTGCTACAGAGATTGATTCATGATTTTAGGTTATCGGGTTCTGAGATTGCTTGGTTAAGAATATCCATGGGGAAGAACAGAACAGGTTTTTTTTTGTAAAATTAGTTTGTTAAATACAAATCTGGTTTTATTTTGCGTACTACAGGGTTGATCATTTTTGAATGATCGAGTCATTTGGTTTTAAATATGGCTTTGCAGATGAAATTCAAAAGATTATAAAAGGTAAATCTTAGTCAAACAACTCACTTAAGTTAAACTAATGTAAATCTCAGTTTTTTTCTGTTGGTGCCTGGCAACAACTGTCAGAAATTTGCATAGATTCAGTCGTGATACGAAATGAAAATATTTAATTTAGTCAAAAGGGTACAAACTTGGGGTGTAATTTTTGAAACGAAACTAACGATGAATAAGCAGTGTCAGGAGTGATAATTGTTCGTAGAATAAAGCTTTAAAGTGAGCATCTTTTCAGAGCCATTGTCAACTGTTTGTACCATTTTCTGTTATGATTTTTTGGCATAAAATCTAACTCCATATTTTCTAGTTTCGGTCAAGGTTTTCTTTTCTGTTAAATGATATGGTCTTTTTTGTTTCGTGAGCCAAGTTCTACAATCCTGATATTTTTACATCAAATCAACGGCTGATTTTCTCACATATATTGCCTACGGTGACTTTTGCCAGCAGAAGATACAGACTCCGGTAGGTGTTTGGCATATGTAGCGTCATCAGCTTTGGAATCTATTTTATCTGGACCTGTGATCAAATCTACCGAAATCCTGCGTCGTGCTGGTTTAGATGATATAAAGGACGAATGCCGGCAACACCGTCTGCGGTGGTCTGGTCATGTCAAACGAAGTGGGAATAGTGCCATAACTTCTCTTGCAGATGTTGAAGTACCTGGCACACGTCCAAAAGGCCGTTCAAAGATGTCCTGGTCGCAAACAATCGAGCAAGACATGAAAGCTCTAAATTTAAATAAAATGGATACAACTGATCGTCTAATTTGGCGCCCAAAGTTGATGGCAAAGAAAACAACGTCCTACCTCTGGGAAACCGGGTCTCTGGACGCAAAACGAAGATTGATTGATTGATTGTGATCAAACACAGATTTGGCTTTTACTATTGTCCGCCCGCATATTCTACATTTACATCTTTCCCGATGTTGTTGCCCGTTTCTCACTGCAAAAAATTACGTCTTTTAATTTTAAATGTTTATATTTTTATGTTCTTAAATTTTTAATTTTATCTTCATATTTCACATTTGATGTAAAAGAGCATTTGAACTTTTATTTCAGTAGACGCTTGGGATGGCGTTAATGAACCTGTTGTATGCCATGGATTTGCTTACACAACAAAATTACTTTTTTCTGATGTCATTGCTGCTATTAACAGTTACGCTTTTCAAACATCCAAGTAAAATATATTTTCCATATTTTGGCGCTTATTTTTAGCATAATGATTTCTTTACATTCAACTGTTGTTATGCATGCATTTAATGCTAAAAGCAAATCCTAAAAGTTTAATTTTAAAGCTCTGCTTCAATTCTTACTGTTCAGTTGTATAAAAAAAATTGTATTATGAGGTGTTATAGAATAGCAAACCAACTTTTTTAATCTTGCCTGTGTTAACAATATGTGAAAAATTTATTTATCTTCAGAGAGACTAATAAAGACTAATGAAAACTTAAGAGAGAGGTAAACTGACGGAGTAGAAAGATAGTTGGTGACATTGTAAAGTGACGTGCGTTTGAGGTAACGGAATCGCTTTGAATTGTTTGAATTTATCAAAGTTCAATCATAAGTTTTTTGCTTCTTTATCAAGTTGTTTGGTTTAGTACGCAAAAAGATAAAAGAAAGTCTATCTTAATAAATATTGTATAAAAGCAGTTGGTCATGACAGTAGAAATTATGAAAGGAGTGAGCGAGTGTGAAAAAATTTAATTTGTTAAATAAGTATAAGCTTAATATGATCATAATTATGTGGACGAGTGACATACAGAGTACATGAATGTGGAGAATTTGTGTGTTGATAAATATGGACCTCGTTAGAAATGGATTATATAATAAAAAATGTTTTAGAGAGTTTCAAGAGAGGGGACTGAACGTTAAAATAATAAATTTGCTAGAGAATTTTAAATTAGTGGACTAATAATGAAAAATTTGTAAATAAAATTCTCGTTTTACCAGATGCCCTGTAATTATATCTATTGAAAATCACTGTGGGATTGAACAACAGATAAAAATGGCCAAAATTATGCGAAATACATTTAAAGGTTTCATTATCACAATATTTTTCATTATTTTACAGTATCTATTCTTGTGGCATGTTACTTGAAATTTATATTATGATTTTAAAAGTTTTTATTTAATTTAAAATTTCAACAGTATGTTAATCACATATGTAATCATAATCAGACGAGCATTTTAGGCAACTTTATTTTTAAGTAAGTTTGGCCAGTTCTTCATTTAGTTGCTTTTCTTCGAGATTTTGACGAGTTTTTTCTTTATTTGTCGTCCGATAAATGGAATTCAACACTTTTGGTGGTTATTATGATGACGATGATGGTGACAATCTTGATGAACACCGCAAATAATGTTAACACGTTAACATAAGCAAATTTGATTTTACAAATACTTATACAAATGTTAGCCAGCTTATCTCCTTCCATACGAAGACATTAGCCTATAACGCGTTATTGACTTTCCTTAATAGTTTCGTTGATTGGGATCGGGTCAATTGTCTTTTAGAGTTCTGAGTTTGTCATATGAGCCTCGGTTTGATAGATTTCCAACATGACCCTATAACACTTTCTGGTGAAGATGACAAGCGTAAGCGTCAACGATTCGCAGCCGTAAAGCTGCATTGATATGCATGCAGCGTTGAATAGTTGCATTTTCAATTTTAGTTTTTCTTTTGATACCAACATACTTTTAAATTAGCTGGGCGTCAAGCGATTTGATTTTTAACAAATTTTTATTGTAAAAGATTCCAGATATTTGAGGTTTTAAGCTATTGCGATTTTGTTATTATTAATTTCTATTTTTAAGTATTTTATGGGTCATTGTGTAATCTATACTAGGTGCGTTATTACTATTTAGAAACCTGACTGCAAAGTCTCATGTAATGTTACCTACTGGAATACTTTGGATGTCTACAACTGATTATGAGAAGTGCACTTTTGAATTGCTATTGTTGAGTAAGGTTAAAAGATAGTTGACCATTTTTTAAAAAAGTTCTGGTTTCTAGTTTGGACTATCTCCATGGTTCTATCCACTTTTGGTCTTTTCCTTTATGAAATTTCAAGTTTTTCAATGATCGTGTTGATTGTTTACTTGCTCTGGAACATTATGTTTCGAGTTGATGTATGCTTCATCGTCAGATTCAGAAACTTGCGGGTTAGCTAAAACATTAGAAATACCATATTGCGTGGCGTTGTTATTGCTCATTAAACCAGCTCGAATGCCGTTTGTCGAAACTCAGACTCGTAAGCCACTTAACGTTTTATGTAATTATACGATGCTGCATACAGGCCCGGTTTCAAGCGTTGGCAACTGCTTAGAGCAGTTTTATTCTGGGGTGGCAATTTTAATTTTTTTTCATTATATATTGTATAACATGCAGACTACATTAAAATATCTAAAAACATTAATAAATGAACAAATATTAGATGATATTTTTAGGTCAAGTTAAATTTTTTTGCGTGTCGAATAATTATCTACTTATTTGTCTATTTCCTATCTACTATAACACCATCTACTTGTTTGTCTATAACTTATCCAGCCTACGACCATCTACTTAAAACTCGCTTATGTTCATAGGTCTCCAAGTCTAGGTTATGTCTTGCGCAATATTTTATTCAAGCTCCCTTCCTAACAATTAACCTTTGTCTCTTGAGTTACTGATAGTGAACATTATCGTTTGTTGCAGCAATTAATTTATCTGTATTTTGTTGTGCCAGAAAAAGATTTTTAAACAGTTTTTGATGAAATAATTTTTTAGATATTTTAGGACATTTCAAATATTTTTTGTGTCTTTACTCTACAGGTAAAAAAACGCTTAAAAAATGACCCAAAAAAATAGGTAGCATAATAAAAATTCAATTTAATTCGAAATTTATCTTTTATAAATACAGAGAAACTTTATACTGAGCAACTGATAGAAAAATGTCCTTGTCCATCCGATCTGATGGGGAAAATAATCATCAAAGTTTGTTCACGTTCATTATTTATTTCTTAAATATAATGTTATACCAACTAACTGAATGCAAAAAGCAAATTAAGTACAATTGAATAAGCTTATTATGTATGCTATCACAAAATTACCACCGTCAATCGCTGATCATTTAAAATATATATTTTGTTATATGACCATTCCAGGGGGCCAACCTCTTGTAATCATTCACCAAATTTTTCAGCTCTCACTTTAATGCATTACAAGTTTTTACTTATATATATATATATATATATATATATATATATATATATATATATATATATATATATATTACATTTCTCAATACTTCTAAGCAAATTCTTGACGTCATTATTTATTTTATTAAAATTAGAATAATATACAGTTTTCCAATTCATTCGCGTGTGTATAGGACCTATTTCGATCATCTTCAGCACTTGTATATATTTACAAAAAGAACAACAATAAAATATACTGATAAAACCAATGGTATCGATGAAGACACTGAAAAAAGTAACACCGACCAAAGTGTATCAAGTAAATGATACCAATAAAATTTGCAAAATAAAACATTACACCGAAGCAATAAAACATAACATTCAAAGCAATTAGTAAAGAAGATAGTAAAATTATTAAAGTCACTTATGACAATAAATGCTAATCACAGGAACATAGGTCTGGGTTATACAAATTCCCTATCCTATATAAACTGCAAAAAATACTGATGATGATCGAAAAATCAAAATAAATCCTACACACTCGAGAATGAATTGGAAGACTATATATTATTCACTTTAATAAAATAAATAATGACGACAAGAATTTGGTTGGAAATATTGAGAAATGTAACAAAAAACTATCCAACGCTAAAAATTCGGTACATTTCATAAATTACTGCATTAATTATGGTCTTTTACCAGTATATATATATATATGTATTATATATATATTATATATATATATAAATATATATATATATATATATATTGGATTAAGACTGTCAGAAATGCAATAATTGATAAAAATCACAGCATTTCGGCGTTAGTTAACTTCCAATCTAACGTTTCGATTTTTCTGACGGTTGATCGTAAATCATTTTCAAGTTTCTTTAGTTCAAAACCAAAGTTTTTGTTTTATGATATTATATTATGACTTAATATTATGTTGAATATATTGGTATGACGACGACCAACTGGCGCTATAAAGAATCACATGAAAGAGAAACACAAAACTAAAATTACTAGACAAATCTTAGACCACAATGTTGAAATCTTACATTACAATAATAACCATTATAATTTACGACTAGCAGAATCCAATACTCATAGAACAAAGACTTCCGATTATAAATATTCAGCAACGGGCAACTGGAATTCTTTCTATCAATAAATTTAGAAACAGGAATTATCAATAATAAAACGAATTATAATAAAATAATTATAATATAATAATAAAACAATTATAATTAACGATGTCGAAGATTGGAAAGCTAAGTATTCACTTTAAACAAACAAGGAATCAACAAAGTATAGTAGAGGCAAATATATATATATATTTGAGCATCTGGGCACAAACACAACATATCAATTTGAACACAGAAGATGGTATAGGAATACCGAAAAAAGCTTTTCTGTTCTATCATGCATAAAATAAACAAAAATTTTAATTTTAAACTAAAGAAACTTGAGAGTGATTTACGATCAACCGTTAAAAAAATCGAAAAGTTAAATTGGAAGTTAACGCCGAACATGCTGTAATTTTCATCAATAATTGTGTGTGTGTGTGTGTGTGTATATATATATATATATATATATATATATATATATATATATATATATATATATATATATATATGTATATATATATATATATATATCAAATCAAATATTGTATTTATATAGCGCCAATTATAATTGCTTCTCATCAGCGTTCTCCTCGTATGAAGCATGTTGAAAGCGAAGCCATCATTGGTTGAGATCACTAGGAGTTATCAAATAGGTATGTCTTTAGACGTTTTCTAAACTCAGCTAATGATAACCCGGATATACGTAGTTCGATAGGTAGGCTGTTCTAAAAAATAGGCCCAGCAACTGCAAAATCTGCTGTTTTCAGATTCCGATCTCTAACATACAGCGTGTTTGAATCAGTAGACCTTAGACGCCCAAGTGATGACATAGTTGAAACTCGAATACACTTATCTTCTAAATATTTCGGAGCCAGACCATTCAAAATATTTTAAATACCATTACACCCAACTTGAACATGATTCTTTGTTTAACACGCAGCTAATGCAGCTCCTTTAAAATTGGTGATGCATGATCAAATTTTAATTTGCGATATATCATTCTAGCAGCCTGATTCTGAACCATCTGAAGTTTAGACAACAGTTTATCAGCTATGCCATATAGAAGACTGTTACAACAATCCAATCTATAGTTGACGAAAGCATGTACTAATAGAGTCATTGTATCTCTATCTACCGATTTTGTGACTTGACGTAATTGACATAGTTGGAACATACATTTTTTAACCAATAGACTGACTTGTGGACCCATTGTCATATGGTAGTCCATCACAATTTCCAAATTGGTAATCGTTTTACTATATATATATTACGGAAATTTATATACAGCGTTTTTTAGTTGTTGAAACTCAAAAGCGCTACTGAATCATAGACAAATAAGACGGACGTTCATTGTGCAAAGAAATAAGTTTTAAGCTGACTTCGAAATTGTAAATATGGTAGGTTAGGGTCACGTAAGTAAGGAGGTAAGCTATTCCAAACAACCAGGCCAAGAACCACAAAGTTACGGGAACTGGTCGCTAACTTTGTAGTCAGGATAATAATAAGTTGTGCTCAGTTGATTGAAAAGAATATTTTGAAAAATGAGATTTGTATGATTCCAATCTATCAATGAGATAGGGAGGTGCTGCATTATTGACACATTTAAACATCAAAACTGCTAACTTGTAGGAAACACGTTTCTCAACCCTCAACCAGTGCAAATTTTTCAACATGATCGAACCACGAGCCACCCAAAACCAGCTCGGCCGCACGATTCTGTATTGACTGGAGCTTTGAAAAAGACCTTTTGGTGACACCATATAAAAGGCCATTGCAACAGTCTGGAAAAAACGAAAGAGGAAATCAAACTTTGAAAAACAGACATGTTTAGTGATTTTTTGACATTGCGTAATAAACGCAGTTGGTTCGAGCAGACCCTCACTAAATTATTAATATGTAAATCCATCTTTAGGTTTGAGTCAATAACAACTCCAAGACTACGGACAGATGTGGAAAATTCAATGGTGTCATTGCCAATACAGATTGGTGAAATTTTGACCTTTGACAGCTGTTGCCATAAACCAACCGTTAATATTTGTGTCTTAGATTGATTTAACTTTAACTGTTTCATACTCATCCAAGAGTTAATTTCGATAAGACAATCAATCAGTCTATTCAGAGAAGCGTCAATCGAATCAACATTACAAGATACCAATAACTGAATATCATTAGAAAAGGCGTGGGAGCTGAACTCATATTTTTGAATAATATCAAAAACATCAGCAATGTACATAAGAAACAACAGTGGTCCTAACACAGATCCCTGGGGGACACCAAAAGATAGTTTGTTTACGTCAGAGAGAGTGTTGTAAGAAACCAGCTGAGTGCGGCCTAAAAGATAGGAAGAGAACCATGATAAGACTGAATCAGAGAGAAAAAAATTTGTGGAGAGTTTATACATGAGACGTGTATGATCGACACAATCAAATGATCAAATGCAGCACCCATATCAAGTAATGCCAAAAAAGAAACGCATTGACTGTCAATTGAAGAAAACAACTGGGAGAAAATATCAATGAGTGCAGCTTCTGTGGAAAAATATTGGCGATAGCCGGATTGGTTCTTTGGTAACAAATTGTTTTTGTTTAAATGCTGTATCAATTGTTTGATAACAACTCGTGTAATGACTTTAGAAATGATTGAAAGATTAGAGATAGGACGGTAATTTGATAAAACGTTGTCGTCCAAATATATATATATATATATATATATATATATATATATATATAGTGTGTGTGTGTTTGTGAGTTTGTGTGTGTGTGTGTTTCTAACCAATGATGGACTTGGCATGTTTATTGATCTCAGAAAAGCTTTTAATCTTATTGATCACACTCTTCTCTAACGTAAACTTGAAGCGCTTGGATTTCGTGGTAAATCCCACACATTATGTCTTATCTACTCAATAGATACCAGTATATAAGAGTTAATGATATAAATTCCCAAGAAATCTTGGTACCTAAAGGTGTCCCACAAGGGCTCTTGCTTTTTTATATTAATGACTTGTTCTCTATTAAAACCATATTTAAAATTATTCTTTATGCTGATGACGCTAGCTTTTTTAATCAACTAAATCACTCCTGAAGGATATGGATTTACTCAATTATAATCTAAAACTTATTGCTTACCGGTTTTATACTAATAAACTAAAAATTAATTATCAAAAATGTAACTACATGTTTATTGGTCCGAGAATCCTAACCAATACTTATGGTCCCTTAAACCTTCGTTTGAATAATTATTTAATGGAGAGGACTTTCAGTACTAAATTTTTGGGTTTAATTATCTTAGGTAACTTTTCTTGGGCTGAACGTATTGATTCTATTTCTTCTAAAATAAACAAAACTTTAGGTTTCCTTTACATAATAAGATACATACTTTATAAAACTATTTTAATTTTGCTGTACAATGCATTTGTTTTTCCACTTTCATTTGATTAATGCCAACCGGTAGAATTCATACAATACCGTCCCCTGTATTTATATATATACATATGTTTAGTTCATTCTTGATGTTGATTGCAATATATACATATATGTATATAAATATTTATATATAAGTGTTGATAAATATCACTGCATTTTTGGCTTGGATCAGTTTCTGGTTCAATTATATATATATATATATATATATATATATATATTAATATATATATATATATACATATATATATGTGGGCAGATTGCATATGTGTTAGTGACCAGTTAGTGACGCATAAGATAAACGTCATATGTTGTCTACCAACGTTCAAAATGGCAACGATTTGAATTTTGGAACTACGAGGTCACCGTGGTTTAATGCTCGCAGCCGACCTCTGTATTGAGTTTCTGAAACAGGTTGGATCTTATTCCTCAGATAGTTTAGATCATCTCCGGCCAAACAATCAAACGAGTAAAGCTAACTTGAATGTTATTCTTTCTTGCATATGGATCCAGTATAGCTCATCTTTGATGTATTAAAATATTGGATCGAATTTCGAGAGGGATCGAACATCATCTTGCAGCGACGGGTTGATTCCATACATCATAACATTGCAGAATCGATCCTATTGCAGACGAAGCTGCAGACAAGAGCTTTTGCTGACACAGCTGTCAGATATCGTCTTACAGCCCTTAGTCTGTGTAGTTGGAAAAAACATCGCCTGCAAAGTTGATTTACTTTTGGTTTCATCAAGAAATCTGGATTCAACACAACACCGAGACTCGTTACTGGATTTTATTAATCATCTACCTAACCAACCAAATGTACTAAGTTTATTTAATTTAGTTTAAATTTATTGGCTGTCATCCATTGGCCAACTGCATTAACTGTATTTGTGACGACTGTGGACAGATGATAAGATGAAATTATTATTAATAGAATAAAATATAAATTTTCTAAAAATATCTGTCTCCCTTTACAACACTGTTGTTCAATCTTATTATTTATAGTACGCAACAGTCCTTCCACGCATATGCAGGTTATCGAGAAAATTCAAAAACATCGTATCAGAATTCTGCTGAGATTAAAAAATTCGATAAAACCATTTATCTTTTCAGTCTAACTGAAGCAAAAAATATAGATCACAAATTTTTCAATATTATCAGCTAACAGCAGCCTATTCTTTGATAATCCAGCGCAATTTTAAGCTTCAACAAAATCATCCAACATCACGTGAATCCTACTGAAAAACTTTAATGAAGCTTCCATTGTTTTTATTTTTCTAATGTCAGAACTAACATAAATTTTAATAGTTCTTTGAGGAATATTTTGAAACTTTCTAACAAATTACTATAAGGAATCATGCCATAAAATAATCTTAGATATTTTAAAAAGCGATTAACAGTTTTTATCAATAATTTATGACTGACTACTTTCAAAGGACACTTCACGTACATTGTAATGCAAGCATGTTTTTTTTTTTCTGTATTGTTATTTAACTGATTCTGTTTTTTAACCGTTTGTATTTCTTATATGATCTCATTTGCATATTATTTTTGATTTTTGTAGCTCTACGCACGCGTGTATGCTCTTCAGTCTTTAATAAAATTTAAATTGAATGGAATAATCTATATTGTCGACTCCATTTCGTATATTTTGGTCCGTAAATTATGAGAAAATAAGTTATAAGGTTGAAAAAGAAAATAAATTACCAGAAAAAAAATATTAGAAAGTAATTTGTAAGTAAAAAAAAACAGTGCTTATTTTTTTCAAGCTATTACAACGTTTGGCAAATGAAAGAATTTGTATGTCTAATTTTATCAATGCTTTTGTGAATTTAAATGTCCGTTTAGCATGTTTAATGTTCCTTTTTTGTCATGCAAACTTATTTGGTCATAAAACGAAAAATTCCCTATTTAATTAGCACTTTTTTAGTGATTAGGAGAAAATGAGTGTAAATCGCCATATTGAACAAGTACAAAAAACACGAAGCCTTTGTTAAAACTGGACTATACCGTACGCGATAACTAATACATTGAGCAATTCAAAAGCGGATTGCACGGATGTTCAATTTTAACAAGCAGCCTAATATCACTTTTATTTAAAATTTACTTCTTTTCTGTAAACGTTACTGTGTATTTTACATTTCTACTAGTCATTTTTTGCAAGAAATTGATCATAGTTTATTTAGTTTACCATTCTCTGCGAACTGATCAGATTAAACTGATAATGTTAATATTTTTTAATAATTTCCTCTCCAACTTCATAATCTCCGGCCCAACTAATTATTTTCATATTTTACTTTATTCTTTTATTTTAAACCTGCCAGTATACTTGTGTTACTTTATAATTTATGGTTTTCAATGTTAACTTATCACAAAATCATATCATATTGTGTAAGGTATAATTTTTTTCTATTCTATCGTTTTTAGTGTAAAAAAAACATTGCGAAGGAAGCGTCAGAAGATATGTTCGATGATTCTGAATTTGATTTCAATTCTGCGAACGTACCCTCCAAAGGAAATGCATCAAAAATTTCAGCTGAGTTATCTGATTTAGTTACCATATGTCAGTCAACGAGCTTCACCAGTTTCAACCATTCTGCTTCCCACCGTAAATTTGTGATTTGCATGTTATCAAATATTATTTCCATGAAAATAATTAAATTTATTTTTAAAGATTCTTTCCAAAATATTTGTTCTTTTGATGAAAACAAAGCTTTGGAACTGGCTCAAACTGATCTGAACGGTTTTATAAAGCACAATATGACAGTGATGTCGAGGACCTATCCGTCGGGCACCAGGTTGAAGTCCAGTAATTATGATCCAATGCCGCTCTGGATGGCTGGTTGCCACATAGGTTTTTAAAATGTAATTTCATTAGAAACTAATTAAAAGTTTTGTTAATGAAAAACACATCAGTTTCGTTGAACTATCAAACGCCTTCTCAGCCTATGTATATTAACAAAGGCATGTTCAATGATAATGGCAACTGCGGTTTTCTTCTGAAGCCTCAATTTTTAAGGAAAGGTTTGTCAAGGCACATTTTAAAATTATTATGGTTTAAACTTATATACAGGAATTACTGTTTTTATGATTTACTTACCTTTTCCATCGATTTATATTTCTACATTTTATATATTATTTTAATTTTCATCCGTCAGAAGAGGAACTAGTTAACGTTGTGAATATTTTTCGAAGTTCGTCAACTAACATAGAGATCATGGTAAGTATTGGGTTGTTCAATAGAAACATGATATTTATTTTTCTAGGCTTTTGCAATGATTCCAAATCAACAACCTTATTTGTAGAAATACTCTTTTTAGACATTAGTTACTTTGAGCCGTTCGAACATAGAGCTTTGTCATAAATCTAATAAAGGAAATAAATAAATGAACGTTAAGATATAGCATCGTTTTGTTACCATAACTAACTAATTATAACAATATTTTGTTATAGTTTAATTATTTTAACAATTTTGATCAACTCATCTCAGACACAATTGGATTTTATTTTTGTTAACAATTAAATGTTGAATCATAATTATTGACTTTCGGTATAACACCTAGATGATGGTTGCTATTAGTTGTTTTTACATAGCCAGCCGGATCTGCCGAAAGCCTTTTTTTAGATTCAGGTGACGCCTCGGCCTCGACTTGAATATATCTTGTTACAGTTTGGTAAGATGCGCTAAATATCTAAGATTCGTACTAAATCACCAATTCTAAAAACTACAACTACCTACTGTGGATTGCAACTGATGTACTAAAAATTTCTGATTTACAGTATTTTCGATCTCAACAACGGGAATTAAATTTTTCAGTGCCAATACCAATTTCGATCATTGGTACTAAATTATTTTTCGAGTCCCAATAATTTTTTTATATGTTCTATGCAAATATTTTTCATTCATCTATTGTCATATGTATCACGTGTGTGTCATCTATTATCATGCGTTTTATGTAATCGTGTGTGCGTGTTTGTGTGTGTTTGTGTGAGTGTGTGAACCACCGAAGCACCTTTCCACACACTCACAGGCAAGCCATACATGCAAATTGGCGGTTTAACCGTGGGCTTCTTGTTCAGACCTCAACAGAAACTTCGGAGTTTAAGAAACTTCATTCCTTGTCAGCTAAAGTGACATATCCCTTGCACGGGTTTCAAACAATTTGAATAACAAAATAATTGGCTTTCCTATTAGTGGCTGCGTAGCTGAAATCTTGTCTCTGCCTGCAAGACTTGGTGAACACAACTTAGAATCACTGAAACAATGAGATTCAAAACACGCAACCACCTAAAACAATTGAAAACTATAAAATAAGATGCCTTTAGCGACAATCATCTTTCAACTACAGCATAATTGACAATGCATTAAATAACGCAGACTCCCTGAAGGCAGCGATGGTTAACACAAAAAACAAACGAATAGAAACATTACAGCCATGTTGAAGCGCTTCAAAATCAAGAGGTATTAATCAAATCAATTAAAAAACACATACAAGCCTTTCAAATTTGTCGATGGTCGATTTCACTAGAAGAGATCTTCTCTCTGATTAACTTGAAAGTATCTAATTCAACAGCTAACAACTAACTTAAACCTTTTTAGATGGGATGAAGTAAAAAGCCAATTGTGTCCTCTTTGTAAAGCCAATCTGACCAATAAACATGTTTTATCCAATTGTGGATCAGTTGCAGCTTTGGCTCGATATACGAAGAGGCATAAAAATTTGTTAACGTTAATTGTTATTTCATTAAAGCTTCATGAATAACCAGATTGCGTTATTTATGCTGATGTGAACATTGAAGTCGAACTTAACGTTCAATATCAACTATATTTGACAGCGCCAAGAAGTTGCCATCGTATACGGAAATACCTCGAGGTTCTTGAATCAAACCAATTTGGCCAATTCAAAGGCTTACAAGGTCAACAAATATGAAGACACTCTTAGGGCAAGCCTTAATGATAGCTTCAAACAACGTAATCTATTTATAAAAACTTTGAAATATCGCCAATTGGTCATTTTAATAAATTCATTTTGTATTTTTTAAATATTTCATGGGCAGATTCTTCTATAAAAGAGTTAATTTTGTCAGCAATAACTTCATCATACAATATATACTAAGACGTTTGAGTTGATTTGGGCTTTTTTGAACCCTTTATACTTGTCTTTATTAATGAGTAAAGAGTTTTAATTGCTATCATTGACAATGGCACATTATTTTTGTTGTTATTAATATTATTTTATTGTTCTAAAAATTTATTACTTTTTCACTTAACATTTTATTAACTCTATATTATTGATTTTATTATTGACAATTTTTATTTCTTTCATTGTGTTTTATGATATTTGATTGAATAAAAGAAGTTTTCCCATCAGTATTGTTATGACCGTGCTACCGAACGTACTAGATTTTAGCGTATTCTAGAATGTTCTAGTGACTGGAGCATTCTAGAGTATGCTAGAATCGGACCATCTAGAAGAATCTAGAAACGACGCTTGCGAAGAGTATATAAGCGCACGTCGCAAGAAGATTAGCGATTAGTGAAATTCGTGATTTTGTAAATTCGTGACTCTGTGATTTTGTGAATAGCGATTCGGTGAATTATTTAAAGCGATATTTGATTTGTTTTGTTGACGTTGTCATAGCGATAGATTTTGAACAATTTAAAAGTTAATTGTTGTGTTAATTTGAATTTGCTAGAAATAAACGATTAGTTGATTTCTTCTGTAAATAAAGTTTAATAACTAATAACTGTTTGGAGTATTTTATTCAATCGAAGATTTGAACCCGTCGCATCGTAAATCGGTTACAACAGCGAGTATTATAATATTGGTGTCAGAAGTGGGATCTTCGACTAGCGAATTACTACTCATAGAAAAAGAACACGATGTCCAAACTGTGTGGTTTGAACGTAGTTCAGCTACGAGAAGAACTACAGAAACGAAGCCTTGTCACAAGTGGCAACAAAGAAGTACTAGTAGCACGTCTGAAAGAAGCTCTCATTGACGAAGGTCAGAACCCAGACGAATTCAAGTTTGATGGTGCTGACGAAGACAATGAAATTAGCACAGGCACGTTTACAACCGCTAAAATGTTGGAACTTCTGCTTAGTATGTCAACTGAAATAAAACAACAGTCCGAACGACAGACAGAGGAGTTAAAACAGATCAAAGAACAGTCCGAACAACAGTCCGAACGACAGACAGAGGAGTTAAAACAAATCAAAGAACAGTCCGAACGACAGTCCGAACGACAGACAGAAGAGTTAAAACAGCAGATCAAGGAACAGTCCGAACGACAGACAGAGGAGTTAAAACAGATCAAGGACCAGCTAAAACTCGTAAAATTGGAAGTGGCAGAACAGATTGAAGAACAGTCAACAAGAATAGAAATGATCGAGCAGAAACTTGATCGTCAGACCGTTGAGGTCGATCATAAGATAGACAAATTGAAGCGAGAATTGGAGCAATCCAAAAAAATGGCCATGCCGTTAGATCACGCATCCAGAAGAACTTTGAAGGTACCAGAATTTGACGGAGAGATGTCCTGGAACGTTTATAAAACCTAGTTCGAAGCAGCGGCAACTAGTAACTGTTGGAACGGAAAAGAACGAGCAACAGCACTGATACTGGCCCTGCGAGGTTCAGCAGCAGAGGTTCTTCAGACGATTCCGGCGGAGAACCACTTCAACTATGAAGTTCTGATTAGCGCGTTGGATTTACGTTATGGTGAAGAACACATGAAACAGATTTATCGGTTTCAGCTTAGAAACAGAACGCAACGATCTGGTGAATCCATTCAGCAGCTGGCACAAGATATCGAACGATTGACATTGCTGTCGTATCCGACATCAGATCCCGAGCATAGAGACGAAACTGCCCTGGATACGTTTATCAAAGTCCTTTGTGATTCGGAACTCAAGCAATCCCTTCTCTTGTCAGATAAACGAAAACTCAAGGATGCCGTTGCGCACAGTCTTACTTTTGAATCGGCAAAGCAGGTATCAAAAAGTGACGTACGTCTACGCCAAGTACATGAAGAATGCTCTTGCCAGAAGGTGGTTGTGAAACGCGAACCTCAACAGCATGGTGTACCCCAATGCTGGATTTGTGGTGAAAAAGGCCATCTACGTCGTGATTGTAAACACCGCCTAGAAGATAACTACTGCCGAAATTGCGCGACAAGATGGCGCAAAAGAAGAGAAGATGATCCTGTATCACGATCGGGGCGGAAAAGCTAATAAGAGCCAACTTTGTGGGGCAGAGGTTGGCTAGTAGAATTGACGCCCCCAGTACCGTAATTAACGTTTCCAGACTACATCGAAATCGAAACGACCTATGGCTGAACGGAAAAGTTGATCAACGAGAATGTGTAATTACAGTCGACACCGGAGCAACAAAATCGATTGTAAGATCTGATTTGGTACCCAATCTGAAGAAAGAGACTTCTAACAAATACATCCTTCGAACAGCTACCGGAGGAACAGCACCAGTCTATGGAAAGATTCTCCGTACTGTTCAGCTAGGCGACTTGTTATTCGAAGGTTCATTCTTAGTCGCGGATATCATCGACGAATGCAAAATAGGTGTCGACTTTCTGACAAAATGTGGGTTCAAAATTGACTTAGATAAACGCATTCTTAGATGGAGAAATACAGAAGTGATAATGGGGATAGCGACGAAAAATGCATTCGAGTGACAGTCGATTGTGACATAGAACTACCTCAATCATCTGAAAACATCGTATGGGGCAAGTTGAATTGCGATCCGAGGGGCCACCAGTTCTATTTGATGGAGCCAACCTCAACGACAAATGTACAGAACGCGGTCATTGGAAAATGCCTGTAGAAGCGAACAAAAATGGTCTTATCCCTGTCAGAATAATGAATACCGCTAAACACACTATTAAAATTAAAAAAGGCGAGGAAATAGGTAATTGCCAATCAATAAATTTGGTGAAATCATTAGATATGGAGCAACAGGAAAAGGTTCTACCAACTGACAAAGGTAGACTCAAAGAACTTACCAAAAATCTACTGGATGAACTCAATTTGTATCAAGAAGACCGTCTAAAAGCCGAGGCGTTGATTGCTGATTTTACAGAATACGTGGATAATCTTCGACAGCGATTAAACCATATCCACCGTTACGTACGCCTTAAAATTATGAAAAACACGGAGGCGGCCAAAACCAGATACGACTTGGAAGGAAGCAGTGGCGGTTTTGCTGTCGACGAGTTAGTTTGGCTGTACAACCCACAGCGAAAGAAAGGACGTTCTCCAAAGCTCCAGCGAGGGTGGAAAGGACCTTATCAAGTCATCACCCGCTTGAATGACGTCGACTACCGTATTCAGGAATATCAGAAGCCGAGAGCAAGAATGAAGATAGTTCATTTGGATAGACTGGCTCCGTACCATGCGGACACTGGAACGAAAGCTGTTCGGGACGAACAGAACTAAGAAGGGGGTAATGTTATAACCGTGCTACCGAACGTACTAGATTTTAGCGTATTCTAGAATGTTCTAGTGACTGGAGCATTCTAGAGTATGCTAGAATCGGACCATCTAGAAGAATCTAGAAACGACGCTTGCGAAGAGTATATAAGCGCACGTCGCAAGAAGATTAGCGATTAGTGAAATTCGTGATTTTGTAAATTCGTGACTCTGTGATTTTGTGAATAGCGATTCGGTGAATTATTTAAAGCGATATTTGATTTGTTTTGTTGACGTTGTCATAGCGATAGATTTTGAACAATTTAAAAGTTAATTGTTGTGTTAATTTGAATTTGCTAGAAATAAACGATTAGTTGATTTCTTCTGTAAATAAAGTTTAATAACTAATAACTGTTTGGAGTATTTTATTCAATCGAAGATTTGAACCCGTCGCATCGTAAATCGGTTACAACAGCGAGTATTATAACAGTATCATTGTTAATGTCATTATTTTTTTTTTATTTATTATTTTAATGATACTGTTGACAATTAGGAAGTAGCATGAATAACGTCGGTTTAACGTCGAAATAGATCTATCTTCAATAATTTTAATAAAATGTTTGTTAATAAAAATAAAGTTTCAATTTTAAAATTTTAAACAGGAATATAAGTTGATAAACACCAATAAATCTGTGGAATTTATTTTATATTGTCAATAATTCGGTCTTCTACCAGCATGCATTATATATAATATTTGTTTGTGATTTTTCTAAATTTTATTAGTTTTCGTACTTTAAAATTGTTTTGCATTGAAATCAAAATTCTCTCGTTGCGGTATTTTGCAAATATAAAAAATATTTAATATTCATGAAGCATATTTTTCATTAATAATAAAATTAATAATTACTAATTTTAGATTCTAGATGGTTATATGTTGCCTAAAAAACCCAAGGACTCAGAAAATAGCATACTCGATCCTTATGTTCAGGTGAAGGTCGTTGGCACACCCGAGGATTGTTCTTGCCAGAAAACACCGATCATCATGAATAACGGCAAGTTTCAGTATTGGTATAATGATTGATTTTATTTTAATTGCCATCACTGACATTACTAGGTTTCAATCCCACATGGAATTTCAAAATGAAATTTCAAATAATGTGTCCTGAATTAGCAATGTTCTTGTTTGAAGTATACGATTATGAAAATTTAGGCAAAGATGTCCTTGTAGCTCAATATTCAATACGTCTAACGAACATCGCTCGTGGTATGGCTTATTTTTTTCGAAACTTTGTGCATTTTTACAAAAATGTATTTTTACATATAACCAAAATTAAACGAAAATTATAGATTTTTCAAACTAGCCAAATTATTATTTTTTCTTTATTACCTTTTACATACGCAAAAATGTTTATATATCGTACTATTGTACTATCGCGTATTGTTATGTTCGCGCAATTGATTGTCATGATTGTTAATGATGGGTTTTGGACAGAGAGCATTCGGACCACGCCATCCTGTTACATGGTACTTCTACCACCTGAGCTAACCCGCACTTGTTAACGAAGAGAAAGGCAATTATCGAATGATGTTGAAGATGATGACGAAGACGTAAATGAAGGTTTTGAAAATATTAGAGAAGTTGGCTACGACAAAGAAACTTTTGACAGGCAATGGGACTACTACTCAGATTCTGATGCCAGCTACTCGCCTGCTTTCATTTCTAATGCTTTTCATTACTATCGTAATGGTGAAGATGATGGCGAAGTGGACGGTGAAGATTTTGAGAATAGTATAGAAGTTGGCAGTGACAAAGACATGGAAACTTTTGATATGCAGTGGGACTCGGATCTTTCTGCTAACTCGCCTGTATTCGCGTGTGTGTTGGCGACGTGATGAATGAGGTTGAATTGCCGGGAATTGCTGTGTTGTTGTATCGAAGAAAAATTCGCTTTAGAGTGGGAACTCTCGTTGCTTGTTTCTTCGATCACGTCGGGGTCACCAATTTGTTGCGTAATTTCTTTCAATGCAAGAAACAACAAGTAAAATGTTTATAATGCATTTTATTGACGTAATACTAAAATAAACAAAAACATGTCCGGCTATACGAATTGACAAAGAGAGGTTCGGTTGTAAAACATAGCGAGAAGGGAAGTTGCTTTTTATTTTCAAGGTACATATAGCAAGTCGTCACATGCTTAAAATATGGATATGCGGTTCAACAATATCAACCACTGCTTCATTGCTAATGAGGATGAAATTTTCATCGCTGCATCACTGATCTACAGGAAGGATGTCAACGACTAATCTTACAACATGCCTCTAAGTATCATAAATTCAATAGAAAAAAAGCACTTGCTTCAACTGCCCATACTTCTGGTAACACTATTGATTTTATTATAGCTTCATCTTTTTCTAAGCCTATTAATATCTCTGCTAGCTCTGTTCCTTATTCTGATCACCTTCTTATTGAATCGGTATTTTCTTTAGATTTTCTTCCTTCTAATTTACCTATGTCTATTTCTAAAAGACGCTGGTCTTCTCTTAATAAAGATATTTGTCTTCAATCTTTTACTGAAACTATTTTTGATACCTTATTTTCTGATATTGATGATTTTGTCTATGCTTTTAATATCTGCATTTCTTCTATTCATGATGAGCTTGTTCCTCTTAAATCTTTTACTTATGGGCTCTATTCTTGTAAGGCTTCTTGGTTCGAATATGCTTGTGTGTTAGCTAAGAAAAGTCTTAAAAGACTGGAGAAATCTATGAATCTGAATTAATTAATTATAAATATCTACTATTCTCTAAACATTCTACTTTTTTTTAGAAATTCTATAACATTTGCCTCAACAGCTAAAAATAGGTGGTCTGTTCTATCTAAACTTCTTCATAAGAAATCCTCTCACTCGTCTTTAGTCTCTTAACAGTTTCATGACTTTTTTGTAATAAAATTACTTCTTTAAGAACATCTAATTTAAATTTTTTTTCTCATAACTTTACTAAACTTACTACTGAATCTTTTTCTGTATTTACTCCAATAAATCTTCTAAAACTTACTAAAATTATTAATTCTATGTCATCTACAACTTGTTCTCTAGATCTACTTCTTTCTAATTTACTTGAAGAATTTTTTTCAATATTTTATACTATCATTGTCAAATTAGTTAATTTTTCTCTTTCCACCTCCAAATTTCCTACTTTTTATAAGAATTCTATTGTTATTCCTATTCTTAAAAACTCATCCTTAGATCATACCTCTTTATCTAATTATAAACCTGTTACTCATATTACTTTCATCTCTTAAATGATAGAAAAAGTAGCTTATTTAAACTCTAATTCTTTGCTACCTGTATCTCAATCTGGTTTCAGACCTGCTCACATTACTGGAACCTCTTTACTCAAAATACATAATGATATCCTTCTCTCTAGTGATAATAGTAATCTTACAATTCTTCTTGCTCTTGACTTTTCCCCTGCTTTTGATACTGTTGATCATACTATTCTCTTGAGGCTGCTAGATCTTTCTTTTAATATTACTGATTCTTGTCTACCTTGGTTTTTTATCTCTGTAATCGTTTTTCTTCTGTCGTTCTCAATAATTTTACTTCTAACTCCTCTACTCTTACTTTCGGTGTACCTCAGGGTTCTATCCTTGGCCCTCTTCTATTTATACTCCATACTTTTGAACTACCTCGTATTATTAATAACTTTCCTTTCACTAGTCAACTATATGCTGACGATTTTTATATTTATACTTCTTTTCCCCTATCTAATCTCAATAGTGTTCTTCATAATCTATCTCTATGTTTTTCTTCAATAATCGCTTGGTCTGACTCTATGTGTCTCAAACTTAATCCTTCTAAATTTGAATTAATTTGTTTTACTGTTACTATTACTATTCCTCTTATTATCTTACCTGATTCTAAAACTCTTGATGTTTCTTACAAGTTTCGTAGTCTAGGCTTTATCTTTGATTTTAGTATGTCTCTTTCTTTTCAGATTAATAGTGTTGTTAGAAGTTTTTACTTTCATCTACGTAGAATAAAAAAACTTTTGCATTTTCTTGACGATCCTACTCTTCTCCTTCTTGTTACTTCGTTAGTCTTATCTAGGATTGATTATGTAACTCGCTCTACTATGGTCTTCCTGATTCTACACTTTATCCTTTTTTAAAGTAAAGCTTTTAACTCTGCTGCTCGTGCCCCTTTCTTTTCTCATATATCTCCATATCTTGTTCTTTTGCACTGGCTACCTATAAAATATAGAATAATTTTTAAAATTTACACATTTATGTACAAGTCTCAATCTAAATAAACCGATCATATTGAACTTGCTCAATGCGCACGGCAACGTTTTAACTGATGTACAGAAATAAGTGAACACCACGTTACGCTGCAAAACTAATAGTTACACGGTGACCAGTGATATGCGCGTCGATATTGATAGCGAAAAATGGTTGACGAACGTATATCTGATTACAACAACAAAGGTAATTTTAGTGAAAACTATGTTGATAAATTTTTAACAATGCGATGTAAAATGAAAAAAACGACCTACTCCTGTTCTTTTTCAGAGATAAATACTCAACAGAACTAGCGATAGTAAAGTTGATTCGGAAAATTGGTTTCCATGCCGAATGTAAGAAATATATAATCGGCACATGCTTGTTTCTATCCAAAGCATTTGATTGCAGCAGCCACAACATCATGTTGAACAAGCTTGAAAAGTATGGCTTCAGAAGCACGACACTCCAATGGCTACGAAGTTATTTGACCGGCAGAAAACAATTTGTTTGTGTAAATAACGAAACGTCTGGCATGCTCAACAACAACCATGGTGTCCCTCAAGATAGCATCCTTGGTCCGTTGTTGTTCATCCTCTACGTGAACGATTTACCAACTGCATCAACGTTTTTTGATTACATCATTTACGCGGATGATACAAACGTCTTCAGTAGCGGCAAATCAATCAACGAGCTCATTGAAAACACAAACGAAGAGTTGAAAAATATTGTCTGTTGGTTTGAAGCCAACAAACTCACGATCAATTCATCAAAAAGCCAGGTAATGATATTTGGGCCAGTTCATTACCTCAACTACAAAGAACCCTACAAAATCAAGATAGGTGATGATACAATTGAGGAAACAAAACGCTTGAAATTTTTATGCGTTTATTTTGAGTCAAAACTTTCGTTCAAACATCACACAAAATATATTGCAAATAAGTTATCAAAGACAATAGGAATGATAAATAAAGTAAAATCATTCCTTCCTAGGAAATGTTTGAACTTGCTGTACAATTCTCTGTGCACGCCGTTGATAATTTACTGTAACACAATCTGGGCGTCATCGTATCACGCAACCACGATGCCAATAGAACGTTTGATGAAACGAGCAGTTAGAATTGTGACAGGATCAAAACGAAAGGACCACAGTCAACCGCTCTTCAACATAACGCGAAATTTGAATTTTTCGAAGTTGAACATATATTTTGAGATGATCTTCGTGTACAAACAATTGACGAACAGATTGCCAGAGTTGTTTCAAGATTATTACAGTATGAAAAAGCAATCTCGAAAACCCAACAATCTCGTCTCCAACAAATCGAAAACGAATATCATGTTTTCACACATTTTCTGTAAAGGGCCAAGAACTTGGAACGAAATCGTAAACAGCGGTTTCGATGTTGATTTCAATTCATTGCATAGTTTAAAATAAAACTGAAGAACATACGTGACTGTCATAACCTTACTCACAAATACTATATTTTATCCTGACATCGAAAACATAAAACTTTTTTGTTAAAAACTGCCAATTTTTACTTATTTCTGTTGTTCTATTTATACTACTAAATAATTTTTGATAGATATGATTCATGAAATAGAATTATTATTTTATTTACTGAACATTTTCGTTTATACACGGAACATTTCTGATTAGGTGGCCATACCAGATGAATTTCTATACAAATTCTATTATGGTCTTCCTGCTTTCTTATTATTTTTGAATATTTAGAAGCAAATAAAATTTCGTTTCGTTTTGTTTATTGGTTAAATATGGTTGAAATTGGTTAAATTCAGACCATCTACAGATAAAACGTCTAAAAATACTGTCGACACACGCTCACCCAACCAGTTTTAAATTCCTGCCAGTAAAGTTTTGATTTTAACAAAAATATTTAATCTGTCAAACGTTTCAAAATGCTTTTATTTGGGTATTGTTGATCACCTTGAGTCAATCAATGTCTAGGTATTATCATACTACCCGGTGTTCAAAAAGGCAGATGGCAAAATCTAGCTGGATGAGACACACCCATCAACTTTGTTCTGGCTGTGTAGTGATGCTGATGTAACTGAAGGAGTCAGTTCTTGGCCCGATTATGTTCTGGCCAGAAAATGGATATTTAACAACAACGCTATAGCTGCTGCTAACAACAATGCTGTTGAATATATATACGTTTGAGAAAATGGCTATTTTTGAATTATTGAAAGAGTGACAATAATATTGACCATGATCAATTTTTTATGTATTTTCTATTTGACACGATTATTTGCAACTTGAATTATGTCATTTATGTAAATTTATCCGCTATTATTGTACCATAATGTGTTTGAATAGTAAAAAGCGCTGTATACATTTTTCTTAATAATAATAAACAAGATCAATGATTTAGACTTTCTTTCTAGATTTTGAAATAATAGCGTCAACTAAAATGTTGGTGCGGACAAGGTACATTGCTGAATTCATCTCTTTCAAATGATTTCAAAATTTGATTGAAATACAGAGACGACCACGTGCTCTATGAAATTATTTTTCTATCAACATTGTTATGCACAGAAGACATGATAAAAAATTTGTCAGAAATTTGTGAAAATGTGAGACTAAATGGATTCGTGTCGGTGTTTTTTATTTTTTAGAATTAGAAATAGACACGTATGGAAGATGTTCCAAAAGCTGCAAAGCTCACTCGCATTAAATGATTCGGTGTTCAACTTGAATACACAATGTGCCTTTGAACAAGCAATTTTTAGTGGTTGTCAGCGCAATCAAACATTTTCACAAAAATCTTTCTGGGCAGAAATTTCCCAGACCAATCGTGCAGCACCTAGATTATTACTCAACTCCATAGATTTAGAAGAAAAAATGGCTGAAACAACTACCAAGGAAATGACTCATAACGTTGACGCCCTTTCTTGCCAACTTTGTTCACTATGAGGCAAACATTGCTGTTGACAATAAGAAAAAATAAAAAGGGAAGACAACCAAAATCAAAGAAACGGAAGATTACGGATGGTCATTACTCGCTACTACTCTGTTTCCAGAAAAGAAAATGGGAGTCTGGAAGTGGATTCATACAACGAATACAAATTGTAATACATGGAAGCGAAACTGGCGAAATTCTGAAATAAATGCATGGTAGACTGTCAGGAAGACATCTAAGAGTGAATAAAACTCTAGATAGAATACGCAAAAAATTATATTGGTTCCATCTTCGAGAAAAAGTTGAAAGCCGTGCCGAAAATATAACACGTGCGCAGCGATAAAAAGAACCCAGAAAGAAACTCGGAAAAGCAATGCATGTTTATTGTAGGCGGGCCCTTTGAGAGAATCGCTATTGACATTGCTGGACCATTCTCTGAATTAAATAATTGGAAACATTTAATTTTGATCGTAGCTAACAAAAAAGCAACGTTCAAATTAATAACAAATTCGCAATAATTAATTCGCAATAACTGCGTCTTTTTCACTTATTCAGCCGACGTCTAGCAATTTGAGGTGTTTTTCAAAATAATTAACAAAAAGCAAGTAAAAATAAATGTTATAATTATTTTAAATTATTTTTTAATTGTTAAAACTAAAAATGGTCGCATGGTATGTTTGGTAGCATCTGTTATCAGTATATGATTAGTATTAGATTAGATAATTAATACGCATACATCTTCTAAAAAATAAAATTACTTTTAGAATACAATTACAAATTTTTCAAATACTTGACATTTGGCGGTGTCAGGCGAAAAACATCCGACTACGGCCTCTAAAAATTACTTACTTGGGCGAAAGTCTCCTACTTCTACTTCGACATTTTGGTTTTGACTAGAAAGTTTTCAAAGTTTTATTAAATGTTTTTAGTTTAGTTAAACTATATTTTAAAATTTAGGGTTATTTTTTAAATGAACTAACTATTTTTAGCTTAAACTCGTTTAAGTTTAACTTGATAAAATTAGTTTGGTTCTCATCACTGCCGATAAAGAGGCATTGTTTAAGCAATTTATTTTGCAAATACAATTATATTTAACGGATTTTTATCAAAGGCATTTTTAATGAGATTATTTTTATTTAGGTTTTTATAGACGCTGAGTGAATGTTCGGCCCGGCCAAATATTCGGCCAAAAATTAACATTCGGCTTCTGCCATTTTCAGGCCTAATAGCCAAGTGTTGCAATTTTCGTTTAAACCATTTTTGGATTCCAGAACAAATGTTGATTATTTAGCGAAAATTTTTTTGTCATCATAGCTGTTGAAGTATCTGAATTTGAACTAGAGAAGAAATTGAACATTATCTCGATAAAGAATTGTGGAATGAACACGATTCGCCTGCTTTTTTGTTCAATAACTTCTTTCTCATTCGATTTTATTTCCAAATTTGCAAGTTTTATATTACTTAGTCTTCGACTGGCCAAATAATGAATAAACTATTCGGCTTTTGGCCAAATTTACTATTCGATGCATTTCTAGTTTTTTTTATAGATTAACTTTCATTTTGGCATTAAAATTTGGTTTGTTTTTCATTGCTGTTGATTGGTTGTAATTTTGATTTATTCTCATCAAATTTTATTTTTCATTAAATTCTAAACGCTTTGTTTATGATACGTTTTGAAGGTTATAGAATTCTACATCTGAATAACAGATATGGAGAAAAATTGAATTCAAACTTGTTTGTACACTTCAAAGAAGTTGATTAGAATCCTCATCATGAATTATATCAAATTTTTTACGCTTATCCACTTAGATTTATTTCCTATCAGCCTCAGATATTCCATACACTATATTTTTTCTTGTTTTTTTTTTTATAGATCATGTTAAATATGCTATTTTCTATATTTCAAATTGATTTTTTTTAATTTTTAAAGCAAAAACGGGTTTTAAAAAACTGTGCAAATAATCTCTGTTCTATCATTTACAAATACCTTCGTTTTCTTCAGTTGCAGTTATAGTTTTATGAATAAGACATGACGAGATGAAGTAAAGCCACATCGAAGTTATCTACTGTGAAACTTGTATCATTATTTTAAGTTTTTGTCAAAGTGAGTTAGTTGATTAGGTCGACAAGTTAGCTTAGATGAGGAGAGATGCCTAATCCTGATTAAATTATGGTACTTAATGTTGAACATTTTATATATCTGGGCAGTATATAAAATAATGACAATAATTGTTCGAAAAAAATTGATAGAAGAATAGCAATCGCGAGAGGAATGTTTGCATCTTTGAAAGTAATATTGAAAAACGGTAATGTATCTACAAAAACAAAGTTAAAGATCGTTGAAGCGTGTGTGTTTTCTACATTGATGTATGCATGTGAGGCTTGGACGTTGAAGAAAAGAGACAAAGACAAACTGGAAGCATTCAAGATGCATTGTAATAGAAAGCTGCTGGGAATCAGTTGGAGACAAAAAATAAGAAACGATGCCATAAGAAAACAACTTGGAAGACAAAAAACTGTGTATGAAAGTGTCAAGGAAAGAAAGCTGGGTATCTTTGGGCACATCTGCAGAATGACAGACGACAGACTGATCAAAAAAGTAATGTTGAGAAAGATGGACTGGAAGAAAAAAGTTGGAAAACCTATGAGGAAGTGGATGGATGATATCACGGAATGGACGGGGGTTGGAACATTGGGCTCAATGAAGATGGCGAGGGAAAGAAAAGGATTTTGGAGAGATAGAAGAATACCATCGGCCTCGACGGTCCCTTAAGGGGTTACATAGGATCAATGAATGAATGAATGAATGTTGAACATTTACACGAGAAAGAGATTTTAAAAAATTATATTCCTTTTTTTGCTCTGACGAGTCACAAAAAATGATTCAATTTCTAGACGGCTATCCATTTCCTTTCACGAATTATAATAATATGCAACGTCTTTCGTTGCTGAATGAGGGGAAACTTGAAAAGAAAGCGTCTGCTCCTGATGGTCAGTTTTTATATAAGCATTTCAAACAATTCATAATAAATGATATAAAACAAATAATATTGTGTGAACGATAAATAGCAGTAAATGAAAATCTGTAAAAATGATTACCAAACTGGAAACAAATGAAAAAGAATAGGACAAAGGAAACAAATTTTAGTTATATATCTCTGTCAAAACGTTAGTTTCGAATTGTTATTTGCGATTGCGAATTGACTCAATAAAACGGTTGTTGAGATTTTGAAAGAAGACTCTGATAGTACTTACAGCCTTGAGGCACAAAGGTTTAGTAACAAGTATCGAATGACGAAAGCAGCACTGCGTTTGACAATTGAATTAAAAAACGAGGTGGCGACATATATGATATATAATTTTAAAATTTTCACATTTTTGTAGTTTATTAATAAATAATTATTCATTTTTTAAAGATTTTATTAATTTTAATTATTTTCTAATTATTTTTACTGAAAACATTTAAGTAAATGTAAAAATTAAAATGAAAACACTAAATAAATGAAAACATTAAAAA